CCCCCCCCCCCCCCCCCCACCCCATTTTAATCACACGACTAATCGATGACAATTGTTATGAAACCGATGACAATGCCATGAAACCGAAGATAATGTGGTGAAACCGATGACAATGCTATGAAACCGAAGGTTACTTGTCGTGAAAACAATGACAATGTTCTCATCCCACCCCAACCCAACCCCCCCTAGCATCAACTTCAAAAATCGCAGTACTCACACGTTCGGTTTTACACCCGTAGGCATAAACTTGATGTATAATTGATTGGTTTAAGGGAACATCTACAGGAAACCCATAGTATCCCATAGTTTTGGGAGGGGTGACAACCATGGTTTCCTGTAGGTTTGCCCTTAAGCCCCTTAACCCAATCCAATGATGCAAGCTGTTTCAAACAAAAAAACACACAGTGACGAGTGGGAGAGTTGATTCCTTGGATCTCCTGAAAAGAGTTGATGTACGGGAGAACTCGCCATCTTTGAGGGGTGTCAAAGTCAAGTACGGCACTGTGTGCCCCGAACTTGCTGTTTCAAAGCACTCTTCAGCCAATCAACTTCAGCAGCAGCTGAAACCGTGAAACCGTACCGAAGAGCTTCTGTGAAACCGTCCCAGCGGCCACAAATTTTTGGCGGCGCAACCCGCCGTACTCTGGTGGTGACATACATAAGCTTAGACCACCATCCATCAATCTGGTCCGATCTCCTTCCCTTTCCATCGTCGTTTCACACGACCGCCATCTGGGACTGCCAGTCCGGACTGCCTTGTTTCACGGCCCAGGGTGTGTGTTTCCGGGGGGGGGGGTGTCAATGGGGCAGCAGTCCGGACTGGCAGTCCCAGATGGCGGTCGTGTCTGGTCTCTTAGACCACCATCCCTTCATCGGAACTCTTGCGACCCCCTTTCCGCTGAGAGCAAACCGAGCAGCCAAAACACTCCAGGTGCCATCGCTCTCCGGCTGTGCACTCTCGTAGTGGATGCGCCTGGCTGCAGGCTGCTCAGTCGTCCACGTGTTGCTTTTTGGTGCTTGGCACCCACTGCATGTGGAACATGATGGTTATATATAATATAGTAAACCAAATGCCAAGCAGATCTGGATATAATATCTTCTACCCAAACGCTCCTAGGCCCGAATCCTTTGGAGGGGTCCAGAGTCTCGAATTTCTAGGTTTTGTGGGACCAGTCGGGCGTCGTTCACGGAGCATCTGGCACAAGGCTTTTCTACCAGTAAGAGTGGATGATGATGCTTAGTGAAGGCCTTTGGCTTCGAGCTTGCAGCAGATTTGGATCTATGACTGCAGTCCAAGCGTGACGGTGATGTCCTTTTTTGCCATGGGTCAATCGGCCATACTGGCCATCGGCCATACCTGGATACCTCAACTTACCTAAGTTGGCCGTTGGACTTCTTTCTTCTCCCAGTCCGAGTCATCTGAACGCGTCAAGGGGTCGCGTCACGTGAACGTCTGGAATTCTTGGGTCGCCTGTTAAGGGGTCGCAAGCACCAATGCATGCAAGCTGGATGGAGTCAGCTCATGCACGAAATATGTGAGTGGTTGGAAGTCAGCACTTCACCGATGTTCAAAGATCGAAGACATGTTTTTCTCAATTGATCCATCCAATTCTTCGAAGTACACCATGGGGGTTCGCATGGTGTTCGGACTTGGTGCCTGTGATCATCTCTCAAAAACAGACATTACATTGACATCTTCTTGGACAAGACGTTAAATGCCGAGGTCACCCGCTGCGTTGGCGTTTCGGCTGCTTTATATCGGGCAAACGAAGCAGGTATAGCCCTTCTTCCTGGAGCATGAGCCGGCTGGGCTGCAACCGTGCACTTCGCTGGGCCGCCGTGCCAATTGGAGACCTCACTGCCTTGCTCCTCCTGGGGCGTGTCGCAGCATGGACATGCCGCATGGAGATGCTGGGTGAGGTGGTCACCCTTGGGGTGATTCAGAATCCATGCTGAATACAAAACAAACACTGAGGTCTTCTCCCCAAGAAACAACATTAAGATACTATATATATCATCTACCGCTCCCACTCACAGTACATGGAAGTGGATGGCATGGCCGCTTTGGAGGGCTACTGTCCTTTAGAAACAGTTGGCTGCCCCCACTTCGATGCGTTCGTCGTAGTGTGCGGTACCACTCACGGTCGTCCAAGCTGCTGCGAAGAAAACAAGCACTCCCGTCCTTCAGCTTGAGCGGTGAAGGGAGAACTCGAAGGTCTTCAACCTTCAAAGGAAAGAGCCAAAAGATCTTCAAATAGGTCGAACACAGGGGCCAAGGCCTCTACAGCTCGGCGTTCTTCTCAAAAGATCTTGGTGCCCCTGTGACTTGGGAAATGGCCCATGCAACCCAAGTCCCTCTTGGCTGTGGGTCATGGCACCAGCCCTGTTGACCCAGGTCGCCCAGTGCCATGATCCATAGCCATCAAGTCCCCGTCTCCCGGTGACGACGATATGGCGAGTGGCGAGTGGGGAGTGGTGTCGCCCGCCCTGTTGATGAGGTAAAGATGGTCGGTGGATGGTTTGGAGCATTACCCGGATGCGACCCCGGTCTCCCGGCCCCCGATGCTATGCAGGGGACCCGGTCATCCGAACTGGGAAAAGGGGTCTGGGGTTTCTCACCAATCCCTATGGTTTTGAGGGACCAAGGGCTCTGGGTAGCTTGATTTTCCAAAAGATTCTGAAGTACTATATATTTCATGGTCAGTTTTCTAGGCTTAACAGTTGACCCTCAACCCATGACTCTGGTTCACCCTCCTTAGTATTTTTCTTCTAGAATTCCTCCCTTGCACCTGCGTCCCAAACTCATGCACCAGCCCCACTGGTCCTTCCACCAGCCCCACTGGTCGTTCCACTTCCCGTTGTTGTACCCCAACTCTTCCAACCAAAGGGGCCAAGGTGGCTGAGCGCAACTCCTCGACGAGCTTCGCGCTATACGCCTCCCCATCGGGTCGGTCCGTTCTGGCGCCCGACCGGAAGCGAAAGCTCGCTGAGGGGTGGGAGGGACTCTTTCTTGCAGCTTTCTTCGCGGAAACGAACCAAATACCCACGTCCCCACGTCCCCCCTGTTTGGAGAGACACCCCATGTCACTTTTTTTTCAGGGGACTCTGGCAGTTTCGGAGAGTGAATAGGTGTGAAGCATGATGAATCATGGCCAGTTGAGACCGGACGATTCTCAGTGCTCCGAGAGATCTTGGTATATAACAGAATCCAACTTCTGGAGGCCCAGAACGATGCCGGAACCCTGCTGAACCCGGGGTCACCCAAGAGCAACCTGGACCCAAACCGCCCAACTCTCCCTGGCATCATCCGTCAGTCAGTGGACTCAGCACCACCTGTTTGGTCGGATTTTTCACATGGTCATCCTATGACCACTCGTCGGTCGCCTTGCACACTTGTGTGGAGGATTGCAAGGGCGGTCTATGAGCCCTGCACAACGTTCCCCTGGCTCATCTCCTCAGCTAAGGTGGGCACAACCTCCCCCCCTAACACAACTCAATGGAGGTAGGGTCATAGGAGCCCTGCCTTTTTGGCGGGAAGAAACATCGTCTTTTTGGAGAAAAAACAACCGTTGGACACTCGGAAGCCATCAGCTTCAACAGAACTTCAGCATCCTGAAACAGCGGAGTGAAGCTGATTGCTTGGCTTGGTGCGTATCTGATCCAGCTTGAGACTTGAAGCTTAAGACCACGATAGACGGACCTGTCTGTGACTCGCGAAATCTCAACTTTCCAGACATACTTCCCATAACACATCCCTTTCAATAACTGGCATACAGTACTTCCTAGCTTCATCAAACTGCCATACAGTACTCCCAATCACCTTAGTGGGACTGACATCCGTGGCTCATCACGGCTCCCACGTCCACCCACCAACCCCGAAGCGTTTCGTTGGTCGTCCCAACCTCCGAACTGAGGCGATGGAGGTCTCCCAGATCCTGGGGGGACGAGCTGCGGTGGTGGACCACGGTCAAGCAGGTGGACCACGGAATCGGTGGACCACGGTGCCGGGGATTTAGTTAAAACACATTAAACAAAACAGCAGAAACGACCTTGGCGCGAGGCCACTTAGAGAGGCCAACTTGAAATCTTGAAGGATCAACCATGACTGGGACTTTTACATTGGAGTGCTTGGTTAAGGCATATTACTTCTGCTGCGGCATATCTTCCATTCCTGTCGTGTGTCTGAGTGAGTCTTATATTTGCATGAAAACGGTCGTTTAAATTTCGAAGTCGCTTTAACCAGTCCGAAGAAGGGCTTCAACCAGGGTATGCACGAAAGTCACAACAAAAAACATGGAAGAATCCAAAAAACAAACACTTTACGTCGATTGTCATGACATGTCAATCATTTGTTTTCATGCCATGGTGGGGAGCAACCCTCACCTGTCCGGCGGAAAAAGCTGGCAAGTTGGCTGAAACAAAACGGCCAAAGCTGCGAAGCTTTAAGCCCCCCACACCAGGGTTCCGAAGGCCGGAAGGGGTTCCGAAGGCCGGAAGGTCTGACATTTAAATAAACATCAAGCAGTCCCAGACACGACCCGTCTGGGACTGCCAGTCCGGACTGCCTTGTTTCACGGCCAGGGGTGGTGGTGCCAGAGGGGTCAATGTAGGCGGCATATATGGCAGTCCCATGGAGTGTCTGGGAGTTACAGAGGGGGTAGGCATTCTCGAAACGGTCGACCCACGTATGTGTGGCAGCTCAAATAGGGAGACCTCCACAAAATTCACTCCCTGGAAGAGGGAAACTAGACCAGTCTACCCATTGGTTGGAGATCTCCCTCACTATACTGTGCAGACTGGGCAGTTGAAGGCTTCTTGGAAATGGGACGTGCTATAATGACCAAGCTCAACCAAGCACGGTCCTCACCCCTGGACTAGTGAGGTCCTCACTGTGTTCATGGCGAGGTCATTTAATCCATCTCAATTGCTCTCACTTCAAAAAGAGTTCTTCTCACAACTGTTTCCATACTTGTCCACATACGTTTCCTCTTGAACCGGTTTTTCATCTGCTCCATCCACTTGCTGAATCTGAACAAACCTAAGAATCCGAGCCGCAAACCAACACATAGGGCCATAGGGTCTTTGAGACTCCGGACCCCCGGAAGACTCCTTCGAGGTCGGGTCGCCTGCCATGGAGGGCCCGAGCTCGGATTCATAGGGAAAACCACCCAAACGGCCTGTCCCCACGACAAGCGCCAACTCCGAGTGTCTGCCAAGGCCAAGTTGTCACCTCAGCGGGCGAAATCTTCCACCCGCCCCAATGACCGCCCTGGTAGGGGCAATAGACCAGTCTACCCAGCCACTGCCAGGGTGTTCCCCCCTTTCTTCGAAAAACACACCCACATTCACATGGTGGCCATACCATGCCTTGACATACGGTGCCGGAGGGAGTCCCAAAACCGAAAACACTCCTTGTCTGGGATAGTCTGTACACCTACCAACACCTACCAGCTACTGTCGTTCAAGGTGCTGGCTGGGCTGTCACAGCCTACTACTTCTAGGTCTTGAGACAAAGACAGGACTTCCAGAAGAACGCCTTTTGGCATCCGAGATACGGAAGCTGGTCGGGACCACCATACTGGATAGGGGCGTCCTGGCGCCACGTCGTAAGTGTGGCGGGCTGACTTGGCATGCGTGAAAAAGTGGATGGAGTCCATCTACCAGGACCGAAACCAAGCCCGGTGGTTTTTGGATGCCCCTTAATCTCTAAGAGGCCATGTATAGACACCTCTTGGAAGGTCCTGGTACTTGGCTAAATGGATAATTCTCCGGTCGATTGAACAACACATCACAGTCTCAGCAACCCTCAAGTATGTGCAACCAGGCATTAACCAGCAGCTATATATATTTGCTGCATGCAATCTCAATCAATGACATGGGGATCATTTTCTCTTGTTTTTGGGAACGGGAGAACTGTTCAGTGCATGTCAACCCTGTTGCTAAATCAACCGTCTCTGTCCAAGCTGGTGGGACTTCACCAACAAGCTGGTGAAGACCAAAGCCTCGCCTAAACGGTGGCAAGCACTCGTATTTCTTGAGTCACACCATGTCACACCTACCCCAGACACTGCATATATATGCCGATCAGTTGGGGTGGTTTGAGGGGTCAATGGGGCGGCATGCCGCCCCATTAGTCGTGTCTGGGTACCTTTCAGCTTTTCACTTCCCACCGGCAAACAAAGAGAAAAACACTTTGTCCAGTCATCCACGTGTCCAGGCGCTGGGCCAGCGGGCCAGTCTCACATACGACGGTCATACGACTTCAGTTCTCAGTTATATGGATCCGTACGCATATACTTCCATTTGTGAAAAAATGCAAAGGGCAAGTATCAAAACTATCCAACATGAGAAATTGTCAAAACTAGCCCTTTGTTCATGTCAAACAACATGAGAAATGTGATGCTCCCCAAAGAGCCTTGTTTTCTGCCTGATCAGACTGGAGAAACAGCTTACTGGGCCCTCACCAAAAAAATACATGCACAAATTCCAACCCTCGGCCCGTCCAAACCCAACATTCTTCCACGAACCAACACCCCGGTCTAACGGGTTTACACCGCGGTCCCTTGTGCTCGCTCCACCCGCACGCGTGGCATCTCAGGGATGATATGCCTCAACGTGAGGCTGTTGGAAAAACATGAGGACAAGTTCAAGAAGCGTGTGGTGGATGGGGATTTTCTGGGTGTTGATGAAGCGTGTTTCTGTGAGTTGTTGTTGGGAGGTTGTTGATGAAGCTTTGATTTAATGTCAAGTCCGTAGCAGTGAGTGTGAGTGTGAGTGTGCTTTTGTGTGAGTTGTTGTCAGCAGGTTGCTTGATGAAGTTTTGACTTGAGTTAAGTCAAGTGAAATAACACACAAAGCAACATGACCCCGTCATACCCGTCAGCTTCACTGGAAAAGGAAAGTCAACAGGGGACATGAGTCCAAAAATGCTTTAAATTTTATCCATTCACTGGATGGGACTTTTACCTCCTTATGCACGTTGTCCATGTGTTCTTGCTTCCATCCATCCCTGGGTCCGCAGCTGCTTCCGCCCGAAGGAAGAGCGTCCTCATGCCGAGTGGTTGAGTGAAGATCGGTTGAGTCAAGTAAAGAGAACAAAATTATACCAGCATAGACCCCAAGCAGCTTCAAAACGATTCGTTTGGACCAAAATTAGTCCAAAAAACGACTTCTTGGTACGCCCTACCTTCCCCCCCGAGAGCAAACTGCTTCATCAATGATTTTTGTCGGCATCGACATCGCTATTTGTTCGGCCACACTCCTCTCCAGTAAACCGGGCCACAGAGACCAGCCACAGAGTTCAGGGGCGCAGCCAAGACAAGGACAAGAGGAGGACAAGACCCGGACACAGAGCTCAGGGCGCGGCCAAGACAAGGACAAGAGGAGGACAAGAGGAGAACAAGGCCCGGACACAGAGCCGGGCCACAGAGCCCAGCCACAGAGTTCAGGGGCGCGGCCAGTCAGTGTGGCCAGCTCTTTTTTTCTAGGTAAGATAGAACCCCAACAGTAAACTGCTTGGGGAAAAACAGCTTTAAGCAACCATGTGATCACAAAACATATAACATCACGAACAATGTTTCGCGTATTATTTGTGTGGTCTGTTGTATGATAAGTTAATGACAATACGCGGAATAATAATAAGCCAGCCTGGAAGAGAAGAAACTTATACATGTTTCATCTTTCCGTAGTTCATTGTTATCAAGAATATATTCTTAAAGGGTATCCTTGAATTAAAAGACCCATTGGAGGTAGGGGCGAGACGTCTCACCAAAGCTTCGCTTCTACCTATGCAGAGGTACAGTAACCAGTTCAGTATGCAACACCATGAGAACATGAGCACAAGCTAATAAGGGGAACAAGATGGAACAAGTAACTATAAGACCGTCTTTCATGCGAAAACAATCACATTAATGCTAGAAAAGCGAGCGTTTCGCTCCAAGCCCTTGGCTCCAGTGCTTCTGCCAGAAGTTCCGAGGCCATTGTGGCAGCAAAGAGCCTGAGTGGAGGCCGGGGCATCTGGAGGATGGAGGAATCATCTTGAGATACGAAGAACTTGATGCGTCGGAGGTACAGTAACAACAGGGATCAGAGTAAAGTCATAACCGTCTTAGTCTTCCGAATGATGTCAAATGCAGAATCAGCGGAGTGAGGACCGGGCCTTTTTTTTTGTGAGCCTTTTTTGTTGTGCATTGAGATAGACTCATGGACCAACTAAACAGATCCTCTGATCCTCACTGGGGTACCATTCTCCTCGCGATCTGGATCCACTCTCTTCCGTTCCCTTCACCTCTGAGCTTGCACACGCACCAGGTGCTCCGTGGAAACCATCCAAGCCACGCTGGAGAAGGCATCGACGCCTCAGTCAACGTCGCCCCCGCTGCATCACCGGGCCGTCCGTTCACTCCAAACGACCGGAGGAAGTGAGACTTCTTAGGAAGCACCTGGACCCGACTTCAAGTACCTTAGAAAATGGGACATGACATGACCTTATAAAAACAGGTACTAGACTACCCATTTTCCGAGGTACGAACTGAGACTCCAGGTAGTTCAGTTTGGATCTGCTTTGGTTGAGGGTTCCACATGTGTGTGTGTGGAGCAAACAAGTCCTAAAAAGTCGGTGGGATCTCCAAGAAACTGCCTTCCCAGACGCTCCAAACAGCCTTGGTCTCTCAAAACGCTAAGTATTTGAGACCCCTGACCCCTCCATAGGATTCGGGTCCGACCCCTCCATATGAGGGCCCAGGGTCGCGCCTGGGTTAACAACCTCTTTTGATCACCGGACTCACGTCGGACCTTTTGGACAAGGTCGGTCCGGGTACCTTCCGAGTCGGAGGAGGGCCGTGTTCACCGGTTGTGACCGGTCTGAATGACCCTACAGAGGTGGTTTTCGTGACCAGGTCACGAGTCGGACCCGGAAAACCAGGGGTACCGAACTAGCATAGTCGAAGGTTCGGGTTCCACCTCTGCTGGGATCTCTGTCCGTGTTGGATCCGAGACCAATTTCCAGGTCTGAAACAAACACCGTCGGAGCGACCGCTGAGCGGCTCCCGTTTCGGCCTAGAAGGGAGCTCCCTTCTACCGCTCATCCCACATGTCACTCCATTCCTTGGATTTGGTGTCCCAAACAGTTTTCTTGACATTTGTGTCCGGCCCCCAACCTAAGCTTATACAGGCAAAATACCCAATCACCCCAGAAGCACTCGGATTTCACTGCCTGGGAACCTTGCCGAGGCGCCGACCTCCCCTCCCTCCTTCTGGGCTTCCGACGCAGCAAGCGGTGCGGATCGGAGCTGTAGGGGCCCAAGGCGTTCTCGTTCCAGGCGCTCACCTTGAAGAAGCGATGAATCCATCGGTCCGGGAAGAGGGGTCTGAGACGTCCGGTGAAGAGTGCTTTTATTGTTGAATGTGGGACATAGCCCCTCGAACCCCCCGCGAAATCCTTAGGTATAAAGAAAACATGATAAAATAAACCCACCCTGGTAGTCTATTCAGTCTATTCAGTGGTGTTTTTTAACACGAATCCTCCTGTTTTGATCTGCCATTTGAGTGTGGGTCCGGTCAAGGGGTCTCAAGGAGCCGGCTGCATCAAAAAGGGGCGCGATGATGGCCTGATGGCCTCTGATGGTGAAGAGACTAAGTCTATGGTGCCATGTTTCCATGGTTTCCTAGTAAAACAATCCTATAAGCCTATAAATATTCACCTGAAGCCCGGCTCATCCCCCCAAAGTGACTGAGTCATTGGCGTGACCAACACATCTTCTCGCATCTATAAATATTGGTATGTTCAATCCTCCCTATCATCTGCCACCGCTCCTGGATTCTGAAGAACTCAGCCCCCATCTTCGTAAGCCACCTCCTTCCCTGTTTCTGCTGCGTCCAGCCCGGAACCGCGGAGCCCGGAACCGCGTCTCCAAGCCGCCCGGACGGAGAAGATGTCCTCCCACTGAAGCACCGCTTGGAGCTGACCGAAGTACAAGAGGATGTCGTACCTCCGGTCGAGTCGAGTCGAACAACGCGGACGCCGTCTGCACGCGGCCCCAAACGGGTCGAGTCGAACAACGCGCGACGGCCGAAGACACGCCGTTGCGGGGAGCTCGACGGTCTTTCTGAGTCGCCGGGCGAGACAACCACGTCTTCTTCCTGGGAGAGTGGGAGAGTGCGGATCTGTTGGAAACTGGATCAAAGGAAGTCCTAGCTGTTGGAGACCGTGGAAGTTCCATGAAGATTCGTTGTGTGATGTGGGGTATAGCCCATATTTACGCGGGTCAGTCAGTATATATAGCTATACCAGGGCTCCCTAAGAGGTGTCTAAATATAGCTCCTTAGAGGTTAAGGGGTATGATACCACTGTATCCACAACCACCCCTTAGGGGGCCCTGGTTCGGGCTATACAGTTGTGCATGGCGCATGGCTTTCTTTTTATCAGCCCAAATGACTTCATTCAAGGAGCATCTCGAGATCCCATCAGTTGCCATATCCCGATTGATGCTTCGGTCTTCTCGAGTTGATACATGGAACAGTAGAATATGATGATAACAATTTCAATTGTAGTGTTGCTGCCCCGAAAAGGGGTCAATGTAGGTAAATATGCCGGTCCCATGGAGTGTCTGGGGTTGGATGCTGAAACCTTCTATCTGTCTTAGACTCTCCCCAACTGATGTGTCCCTTCTGGCGTAGTTTCACAACCATAATGTCACAACCAACAGGCTGAAAAATGGTGACTGCTACCACATTGATCACTGAGATTACTGTCTTATGCAAGGCAATTATGGTTACCATGTGCCAAGGAATATTTTCTTGTCCTGCAGTGGTTTATTGAACTTGGGGAGGTCTCGCATGGTCCCTATATACACCCGTATGATGCTAACAGAATCCCATGATGCTCAACGGGTCAATCCGGTGGATTTTGGTCTAGCCCTCCTGGAAGGTGCCAGTGACTGGAGCAGCTCCACCAGGGCTCCCCGCTAGGATCACCAGCGCTGGTTTATCACGAAAGGGGCCCTTGGCGGACACCACGTGCTCCAGGGCCAGTTTGTAGTGCAGCGCCTGGGGGGATGCTTCGGAGACAATAAGCAGAAAATGGATTCAAAGTGGGGGGGTGTGATCAAGAAGTCATTGATGGATACAACATGATACAAGATCGCAAACAAAGTGATGATAGTCATTAATTACATGCTACTGACAAATAGTACTAACCAACTTCAAACGACCTCCAACGAAACTCAGCAAGGTGCTTGGTGATCAGCTGCAAGATCGCCAGTCACAGTCACAGTCACAGCCATCCTTCCAACGCTGAGAACGCCCTCCTCCGTGACTGCTCCGTGACTTCACCGCCAAACACGTCGCTTCGGTCCAAAACATCGCCCGCTTGTCGAGCTCGTTCTCAAGAGGTCCCGGTTCTACGGACACGACCTACGACCACCTGAGACCTGAGACCGGAAGAATCCACGTCAGACGGGAGCGGAATGCCATGAGGTTTAGCGGGTACGAAGATGTCGGCCCCGAAGCTTCTGAACCCTGGTGAAGAAGAGCGGATGGGAAGGTCTCTGGAAGTTCCAGGTACCGACACGGGCCCCAAATCGGAGACCACTTCTCCCTGGTTTCGTTTCCAGGAGTCGACTGAAGCAACGGTCTGATGATGACGATGACGAGTTCGGTCCGAGTGAGTGCAGGAACTGACACTGAACACGACCGGGTGGTGCCTCAAATTGTCGAACTGGCCTTCTAGGGTTGATATACCCGTTTGGGTTTGGTGTCTTTCCCCCCTGGAATACCATTGTATACTGGAATACCTGGATCCATGGAGTAGGCACTTCAAATTCCCTATACATCATCCTCATTCATCCTCCAAGGAACCGCCCCATCGGAAAAAGACATAACACCATGCCCACTCAAATAGCCCACTCTGCCTCCTTCTCTCCGGCGGACTTCACACCTGGCACGGAGCAAGGAGACCACCCCACCACCCGAGCTTCGATGCCTCGCGCCCTGCGCTCCGCGCGACGTGCGCGCGCCTGTGTCCACCTGCTGCCAGCCGACGCGGAACTTCTGAGCCTCACGTCTCACACCGCGGTGGTCAGTGGTGGGTCCAAGGATTTCATCGGGGCTTTAATGGGGAGATGTTCATCATAGAATGGCCCTTGAGGGCGAGAGCAATGCAGTTCCACTTTCATCTTTACATGCTCAAAAAGACGTTGCTCATATGGTGTCCAAGAGAGCCTTCTTTGAGCCATTTCAACTGGACAATCACACTCCTTGAAGTAATCATGGATACGTGGCATGGCATGGCCCTGATTTCGGAGGACCACGAAATCCGAAGACCAAACAGCTGGTTTTCACTCCACTTCAAACGGATCCTTTTCAAGCAGATGGTCGTCTCTCCTATGGACCACTTGATCATAATAAACCCCCTGGGACTGGAAAGATTATTGACACTGGTCCATCTTCTTCCAGTTTTGTCCTGTCCATATGTTTCAAGTGGTATCAAGATGTTTCAATGCCATGTATGTATGCGACCATGATTGACCACGGTAACTGTTTTTGAACACCGCCCAACGCCTCGAGCTTCTCGCAGAACTTCAGGCACCACAGGCCATGACCCACGGCGGGCCCCAGCGACCAGCGACGAGCAGGACTCCCCGCCGTGATTTTGGCCTGATCGCCATCGCCATCCTGGAAACACGCAGCGCTGGGTGGATGGGATCGCCATTTTTGAAGGTTACCATGTTCTTACACTCCGACGAACACATCACATGGAAGTGGAAAACCTTCTGTTTGTAAAGGAAAGTCATCTTCCAAGGGGTCATGCCATCCACTTCCATGTTAGTGAGGTTACCATGTTCTTAAACCCTTTCATATCCCAAAGTCTCAGCTCCCGTGGCCTAGCTATTTCTGACGGATACAAGGGGGGGAGTAGAGAGCGCTGTTTTTTTCCGTCTCAAAACATGCTGTGAACATATGCTGACATGCTGACTTCCAACTGCCAAAAACAGGATCCAGCCATCAATGAAGCGCTTATATTATCGTGCACGATCCAACCATCTCCAAAGCCCCAAAGAAGCGCGCCCTCTCTCCTGCGACACGAAGACCATGTGCTTGTTGTATCCGTAGGCCTCCCGCTCAGCGGTGCGCTCCCGCTCGGCGAGGAGGCTCGCTAGCAAGTGGAATCTAAGCGAAATCAGCATCTCTCTGAGGTGGTTTGATTCAAACATCGGACCAATCCCTAGGCTCCATGGATTTAAGAGTCTTCCCGAAACGACCATGATTACTAACTAATTAGTAGGGTTTTACATGACGACACCAAATGAACCATTTCAAAACCGGTCTTGGACTCCCAGGGTTATATATTATCTATTATTATCTATATCCGGTAGATGACAGTCATCCCATGAAGAAAGCAGACCGCAAACCTCCACCTGCAAACCAGAACTGAGAAGTCAACTTTTTCTGCAGCCTACTTCAGTTTGGGGTTCACCTGGTGAAGGAGCTCAGCCCACCGACCTCTTCCGGGATCTTCAACCCGGACACCCCTGGATCTTCATGCAGGTGCACATATATCGTTTGGTCCAGTGTTGGTGCATACCTCGTCCGGTGACGTAAACGTCTGCGCATACCTCGCGCTCGGGTGCGCGCGCCTGGGACAAGGACTGCAAGGAGCGCTCTAAGGAACGAGGACCTGGGACCAGAAGGTGCAGAGGACCTGGGAAGCTGGGCATGACATCTGAATGCTGATGTGTCCTTTTTTAGGAGATTCCCCCAGAGGTGATGAGTCTCAACTGCGATCGAAGCTGAGATTGATATAGACTCTATCCAGGATCCAACAGGTCTCCAACCTGGTGGCTTTTGCAGACGGCGTCGCGACGGTGGTGGATGCGGGGGGGATCACCCTCGCTTCACCACCCTCTTGGCGCCGTGAAACCATGACTTGACTTGTATGAGACATGAGACATATCCCAGACACGACTCATGGGACTGGCATAGATGGCACGCTGCAGACAGACCCCAAACAACCCCAACTGATAGGCATATGTGGCAGTCCCATTAGTCGTGTCTGGGTATCACAGCTTTGACACTCCAAACAGTGTTCAAGTTTCAGGAACTCCCTATGTACAAGTTCCATGAAGTCTACCTTTTGCGGGCCACCCCCCCCCAGACCCCCTAACTATCCCTAACTACTCACTTCGTTCGCCAAGCACGGTCCAGGTACAGCATGGTCCTAGACTTCCGAACTCGATCGTCCTAGGCTTCGCCGACCTTCGCCGGGCTGGGCTTCCCCCGCGCAGGCCACTGGCCAAGACCTGCCACTCCGCCGCATCGGACCGAAGGTCCCAGAACGGTGACCGTTTTCGGGTGGAGAGCCGAGGTGGATGACGTGACGTGAACGAGTCGGATCCCGGAGAATACCCAGGGGTTTCCCATCGCGGACCGGAGAGTCGAACGTGACCGGGTTCGCTCCCCACCTCGGCTGCGACAGTTTCTACCCTAAGGATCCTTGGACCCTCCTTAGAAGGGGTCGAACCCTCTATAACAAGGGTTTGTACCCTCATGTATCCTCAAAACCCTTGTTTTTGACCCAAACCTGCTGGGTCATCCGATGCAAATCTGTGCCCTTCGGACACCAGGTTGCTCGACTTGGAGGTGAAACCAGGACCGACACCAACAAGAGGTGTCTATAAATACAGTAGCCTCTTAGTGGTTAAGGGGGGTCCTGGAAGGGGTAAACTATTCTGTAATTCTTTCCTCTGTCATTCTATTAAGAAGTAAAGCCATTGCACCCAGCCCTGCCCTGCCCAGCCGCACCAGGTCGCAAACCGATCGCATTTTCCCGACCAGGTCGCTGCAAACTCCGAAAGCGAAAGCGAAACGGGTCACGGGCCTAGCAATGGTGCCATTGCTGGGGACAAACCCCGCCCTGAAACGAAACCAGCTGTATTCGCATTCATGACAGTGACACAGTGACACTCCTTTCAAATGATTCTTACCCCTGTAGTTTGCCCATGTTTGCGCGTCCCGAACCTGATGGACAGCCACAGCAACGACAGTGACACTCGGTGGCTGTGATTCTTTTGCACACCGAATCTGGGACGGTCAAGTTCACCAAAGAATAGCAAGCAAAAAAGGCACTATGCCCTATGTGTGTAACTGAATTCGGGATGGTCAAGTTCACTAAGGAGCTGCAACGACAAAAGGCAGAACCCTCAATGCGCGTCACTGAGTTTGGGATGCTCAAGTTGACCAAAGAGC